CAGATCTTCTCAAGGGGAGACTGATACAGTACCCAGCAGAGCATCCAGCAGATTGTGAGCTATTTAGTCCTGGTTGGAAGACTAGGTCTTACTAGGACAAGCTCGTATTGAACTTTGCTTCTAATCTACACTTAACCATCTCCTCTTATTAACAGAATTTAGTCTTTTGGGGTTATTTACAAGTCAGACCTCTGAAGTACACAGTGGCCATTCACTCTCCAAACTTACATAGTACATAAGTCACTGGCCCAAACTGGCAAGTACAAGGTTTGATTTAAGAAGTAGGTCATAGAAATACCAATGCAGAAGAGACTAGAGGTTTTAGAAATTTGTAAAACATGTTTCCTTGTTGTCATCTTAATGTATTGCCCAAAACTTGCCTCTAAAGGTGCAGTGAGTAGGCAGCCTATTGTGCAATCTTCATTCCCTGCTCAGCAAACAAATGTAAAAACCCTGCAGACTTGAACAGACAATAAAAGCTCTGAATGACAAATTAACACTTCTGATTTATTGCAGGTGCTATACTGACAAGTAGCCCAACAATGTCTAGTCCTTTAGTACTGTAATTATAACTCTGCCTCAGAGACACATCAGGTGAGGAATGTGAATCCAAAGCGACTTCTGGTTTGGCCTGGAACTTGGTGCTAAAGAATGAACACACACACTGCAAAGAGGATCACAAAGAGTACACTAAGCTACACTAATAATCACGCTCCTCTCGTTAAACACATTTGTGGAATCAGATGTTCCTTTTGAAAGAATATGAGACATTAAATAATACATTGAAGAAGCACTTACAATATATTCACACTCGTGTGTGCTAGAGTATGTGCTGTATAGTAAATTTCTTAGCATCAATCCCAGTCAGAAATCCCAATCAGTCCCAGTGTTTAGGGGAGCACAAAATCAGAATACAACCAACAAAGATTTTGTATGTACATAGAACAGCACAATCCTCGATAGAAACATGATTGGAAACTGTACTTCTGCAACTTGATCCTATTAGCCAACCTGAAAGATGTCAAAAAAATGACAGAAGTCCAAAATAAAAAAAGGGAAAAAAAAAAAAACACAACAGACCTATGTTCAGAGCTGCACTTCTGTCCTGATTATAAACAAAAAGTTCCTATTGAATGAAGCCAGTTGTAAATTGGAACTTTCCCAAAATTGGAGACGCAAAATCATGCTTCAGTAGTGCTGGAGCATCTATAGAGGAAGAAATAAGAACTTTTCCCCAGAATTTTAAATATGCAAAACTGTGATTCCCCAATACAAACAAGGACAGCATGGTAAAATGCAGGGCTAAAGGTAGTATCAAGGTACTATAATAGTATAGAAATAATGTCTGGGTCTCTCCTCTGATTTATGGTTATTGTAAATTTCTTTAGTTGTCATCAATGCAAAAATACTAAGGAATTGAGGGGCACATGAAGCCACCAGAGAGATAAGAATATCTTTCCTTATAGTGTGTTTTGCACAGGTTTGTGTGCCATGTTCATCTAAATCATATAAGCAGAGCATTAAGCATCCAGCTAAAATGTGCCATGTGTTGTTTATTTTCTTATCCTCTCATCATGCTCTAGAGTTGTTGAATCATCTATGTGTCACTGCAGGATCCTTCTGCACCACAACTGTCTTACCACAGCTGGCTAAAAAGGGTTGGAAGCCAGACTGCAGGCAACAAAGAAGACTGATTTTTACAAAGTGCAGAGGGTTCTGCTGCAGACAACAGTTCCTGCTGGTGGCTGATGAGGGCATTACAAGACTCTGTGTTTGATACAAGAACTGAATACCCACTTTAACAGACACATCAATGGTCATATGAATTAAAAAAATAGTAACTTAGGAAAAATACAAATTTGGATACTGTACAATAGCTGTAAACTGTGTCATTTAATGGAATTTAATGGTGCAGATTAATTTTCAACTTGTGGATTAATTTTACGCATCTTAACCTAAATCTGAAATGATCATTTTGATGTTCTTAAATTACTAATTTTCATTTCAGAAATTCATTCAAAGTTGTGCTGATCTAGAATACAAACCCTGAAAACTATCAGCACACCGTTGTGTGGCACGCTTCACCTAGGAATAGATGGGCTTAGTACTGGGAAGTGCTTCTCCAAAAGGGTCTTTGTTAGCTCTGTCACCTGTAGTAGAAATTGCTTTCAAATCAAATTTACCTAAGGGTAAAACATACTTTGAAGACAAAATACTTTGTGCTAGCCTCTAGTGATAGAGAAACATCATCTCAGAAAGTCATGCCATTTTCTCACAAATGAAACTATCAGTTTCAAAAGAACTTTCATGGCACAGAGCTTAAAATTATTTGTTCAGTCAGTACAACACTAAACATGATGCCTATCTCTGTCCCTGCCTGCTGCACAACTATAGGCTTATGCCTCAGTTTCTTCCTCAAAAAAACCTTGACATGCTTTAAGTCTTCATGGAGTTTTTTGTTATTTGGCAGCTCCCCTTGAGAATAGATGGAAGACTTGTATCATCAGAAAAGACATAATTTGCTCTTGCTACATCTGGGAAATACAAAATTGGATCTGCCCATATAATTTCTTATAGCTTACAATCCTAATGGATCTCCTTGAAGATAATAAAGCATTGCAGCAGTTTTCTAGCATTTTCATAAAGACTGTATCCCAAAGTGACACAGTTCAACAGCAACTAGCAGAAACAGAAAGCAAGTATGACTTTCTGGATGAGACAGAAGCAGTGTTTGTCTACAGGTGACCAAAGCGGTGAAAAGTAAAACAGGAATTTTATGTGGCAGGAACTGCAGAAAACTTTCTTACATCTCAGAAGTGATGAAATCATAGCAGTGATAGAGGACAATGGTGTTGAACTAGTGAAAATAGGAACAGTGAACAAAAAACATACAAAAAGGTGTAGACTGGAGGAAGTTCAAAGAGGTTTAAAATAATTAGGGCAACTGCAAAGTAGATTATGAACTAAACAGACTTTGTGGGAGAGATAAATATGTGAGATGCATACCAGCATAACTTACTTTAATTAATTTGCTAATATATTATTTTTATCTTTGCATCATTTTCTTGAAGGTGAATTCCTTTTTGGTATTTGCCATCACTGTGTAACTGCTCTAAAGTTAACAGAAGTTGATCCTATTTACACAATGGCTGTATTGGTACCACAGCCTAGCTGTTGCTTCTATAATATTTTTTCAAAAACCCCAAAACAACCACCATACCACCTCCCTCAGTTTTGGTCATATTTATAAAAGCATTTGAGGGTACTGACATCTTCCACTGGAGCAGCTGTGTGGAGAATTGGAAATCTCAAACAGTCCAAACTCCACAGTTCTGCAGCTACAAAGGATGGCAAAAAGGCTCCAAATTAAAAATACTGGAGAGCAAACAAAAAGGTGATGTAGGAGAACTGTTCATCTTCTGTTGGGTACCAATATTCACAGTAGCCCTCTCTGCCTTTACTTTCAAGAGTGAGTGTTTTTCAAGTTGGGCTTGACCTTTTATTTGCCTGTATTTGGAATGTTTTAGACTACTCACATAAAGTAACCTGGATACAGTTCTAATACTCTCATGAAATTTAAAATGGATTTCCAAAGAGTATGCCTGCACAAATGTCTTCCTTGACAAACTTAAAAACTTTTTATTCTGTCATTAATGAACTATTTTCTGTCTATTTTAATTCTTTTTTGTTGTTGTTGTTTTGGAAGGCCCTACAAAACTGTGCAACTAGGTGATGTCAGTGTATATACATTTACACACCCAGATGTGCTTGTCAGAAAACAGTTTACCTACCATCAAGACAAGATCACTCTCAATAGCACTGCTGGTGAAATGTGATAAAAAATAAATTACAAAGTAACTAGGAAGGGGTGATTCTGTTACAATAATGACAAGTGATGACACCCACCAACACTGTCACTTCTTGTGCAAATGTTTTGCCCGTGATTATTGGCATAGGCTGAAACTCTGCTTTTCTTAAGCCAGAATCATAGAATCATAAAACAGTTAGGATTGGAAAGGACCTTAAGATCATCCAGTTCCACCCCCCCTGCCATAGGCAGGGGTATCTCACACTACACCATGTCATCCAAGGCTCTGTCCAGGCTGGCCTTGAACACTGCCAGTGATGGAGCATTCACCACTTCCTTGGTCAACCAGTTCCAGTGCCCTACAGGTTACAGGGTTAGGCTGGTATCATCTCTCCCTTTGAGAGTAGGAAATTTCTGTTTATATGTATGCATAAATAGAAAAGAAATCATTGTACACTACCAAAGAACAAGATAAAACTACTCTATCCCATATCCAGGCAGAGATAAGTGATTCAGTTTTCTACTCAGCCTTCTAGAATCAACAGCAGTCCTGGGAAGTGGCCACAACTGTGGAGCCAGTCAAAGATCTGGCTTGCTGCAGACTCCACTATATAGAATTTAATGTCTCTTCAAGCCAAACCTGAGTTTGTCTCCAGAAAATTACCCAAGGTTTTATTACGATTATTCAAAAAATCCTTCCCTACTATATCAGCCTGAGCCCCCACCCTTAGACGACAAACTGGAAAGTGGTTGTGAGCAGTTACACCTACAGCTAAGTCCTTCAGGTTTATGCAAGATATCAGATATGCCTATTTTTCCTCTCATTTATCCATTTTGTGTGTTAAGCTGGAGAAAAGATGAATTGTTTTGGTTTGGATTCTAAAGCATGTAAATCAGTCAGAAGGCTAGGTGCCTGAGAAATGTGGTACCCGTGTGAGTTCTTTGGTGTGCTTCACCTAGACCTCACCTGTCTTGAACACTATTTAAATTATCAGCAACAACAGTACAGGAAATACTTGTTTAAGTCTGAGACCTTTTTAAATCTGACAGAGATGTCTTGATCCAGCCAGGGGTTTCAAAAGCAGGAAGATTAACTTTCAGCTGACTTCTGGTTTTGTTGCTCTGGAAGGAGTTCTTTACACAAAGTTATCTTCATAATTTATGTCAAAGTCACTGTTTCTCCTCCTTTCAGATGAACAGAGCATTCTGCCTTGTGGCAGAAAAGAAGAACTACCGTGGGGTGACAGGCTCTGCCTCTTAAACTGGTTGCTCTGTTGCTGTAAGAACAACTGTGAAAGAGACTACATGTCTGTCAAACTGACATGCTCAAGTAAGTTACCCTTCACTTCCCTAAATTGTGACACAACAGCCTACAAATGTGAATCCATTTGCTTACCAAATCAGTGTTTGTAGCAATGGACTGTTCTAAACATTACATTTTATCTGGTTTTGCTGTTGCAAGGATATGGATATTTAGACATTTATTTATTCATATGTCTAAATCATTTACACTGCATGCTGATTCCAAGTAGATTAGTAGACAAATATTAGCAGTAGTGGGAATAGAAGATTTGGTTGAGCTCAACATGCATTAAGCTAATGCATTGTGAAGGCTGCTGCTCTGAAACGCCAGTTGAGGGGGACAAGAAAAATAAATAAATAAAGGGCCTAAAAAAGGCAGTCACCATTGCCAGAAACAATTAGACGCTGGCAGCTCTGCAGAGCAGTGACTGCTGGCTGAGCTCTGCATTTGGAAATATTAATGTGAATCAACAAACTGCCAGCTGATTAAAATAATATTTGGGCAGCGGAGAAGTAAGAATTACTGTCAAGTCAGAGAGTGTATTTAAAGGAGTCAGAGGGTAACTTTAATAAACAGTGCAGATAGTTTGGCCATTTGTTTTAGAACCAGGTTTGTTGCAAATACACAAAAAGTGGGTTGTAATCTCAACAACTGCTGTTTTCTAGAACACTTGGTGATATAACCATCTCAGCTTTTTCTGTTCTTACTTTCTGCTTGTTATGTTTAATTGTTGATGTCAAGCTGCAGTTTTATCTGAAACCTTCCTTGTAACATACCCATTTGGTAACTAGCAACATCTAAGAGGACAAATGATTTAATGACTTTTAGACCTCTGTGCTGCACTACAAACAGAACTGATGACCTACTGCTGTCACTAATTATTTGCCAGAAATATTTCCAGACCTGGGGTTTTTAGTTAACACAACAATATACATTGAAGAACGTAGCTGAAATCTTGCAAGAAGATCACAAGTTACAGCAGGGAGAGCAGACTGACAGCTAATAGCAGATGAAAGTAAACCAGATGAGTTTCAGGAGTGTGCCTAGTACACTCCATCCTCTTAATAAGCATTCAGATGCATCGAGGCAAGATAGCGCTAATTCAAACTAAAACTCTCTGGAACATGCATGGTGTAGACAGCAAGCTGCCTTACCTGTTCAGTCTTACTGACCCCTGTTTGTGACAACACACTACTTGCCTTTTGAGTGGAGTTCAAACACTTACACAACATAAGAACTCTGTAGAACTGATCACAGTCCATTAAGTAGAGCAGGATTTAGGTCAGATCCATGGAGCACAAAAGATTCTGAGTTTATAATTGAGAATTCAGAGGGCTATGGCTAACATGCATGGGAGGACACACATGACTTGAATTTAGCCAAGACTTCAGGTTTTTACGCTCTTAGTTCCTAATCTATTCAGCAGAGATTAAGGCTAGGCATGTGGTTTATTTTTTTTCTCTGACAAAACATATTTATTGTGGTTGTGGAAGATTTAATGGGAGCACATAAGTTTTGATGATATTGTGTCTTGCCCAGACCACATGAAATCCTTTCAGCAACTTACACATACTGTGTATTATTTTCTGCCCTTCCATAAAGGTGTGCATAAAGTAAGTAGTGAGTGGCAACAAACTCTTTTTAATATATGTAAACGTATTTTTTTTTCCAAATGTAAAGCTCTCAATTCAATTGCTAATATAAAAAAACTGGAACGACAGCTGACTATAACAGAGTCAAGTAGTCACACGTTTGCTTTGAAAATGTTAGAGTAGTTAAGAGCCCAAATACACAAAACGATCATTTGCACTGGTTAGAGTGCACACAAAGCAGAAATTGCCTAGAGGAAGAATTCATTATTTTTCAATGGAAAGTCTGATTTGCTCTTCACAGATGAACCTGAGAGCAGAGTGTCATCCAGTGAGGTACTACCATCTGTCACTTCATGTATACTTCACAGACACATAAATGGTTGAGACAAGATGAGTGCCAAAGCACCTCTGTCTTGTGTTGGGTTTGCTGAATAACAGCAAGACCTTCTAGAAAATCAGCAGCAACAGAAAATCTCTACAGAATGACGAGGCAATTAGATCTGGTGTACTGTCTCATTCTGTGTCATACTGTTCAGACTAGCACTGCTACGCAGTAATAACGGACAAGGCAGGGACAGGTAGAATTTAAAAGCTGACAGTTGTATTTCCCTATGTAGTTTGCATTCGCGTCATGTCTGAACATGACATGACTAAATGAGCACATTAAAAAGTACTTGTGTAGAATTAAAAAAAAGTCACTTTGTGACTCATCTATAGGTAATATTCTGTAATAAGTATATAAGGATCTGTGTGAATATATATAAATAAGTATGTATCATCTTTACTCTTTTTCTTTCTGTATGTGTACAAGATAGAGGCACTCCACTTGAGTTATTGTTGTTATTTCTAAATTTCTGCTTTTGTAATACTAAACATTTAGCCCATAAATTAGAAAATACTTTTAGTCATTCTGTCTATTTCAATCTGATACATTTTAGAATTTCCTGGCAGAAATTCTAAGAACTTGTGATGCCCATTGAAGGCAAGAGTCATTTAAAGTACTGCACCCTTGAGCCATAAATATGAAGGAAAATACCAGGCTTTTACATATCAGTTACCATTATCCTTTCTTATTTTAAATCTGATATATTTACTTTACACTTAGTGGCATCACCATTCAGAAATCTAATTTTCTTTTTATTTTGGCCAAGAAAAACTTCCTCTACTTCATATGAAATCCATAAGTAATAAAAAAACAGGTACAGAGAAGGAAATATAGTTCCTTATTGCATGTTTTGGTGTTAAAGCAGTAGTAATAGACATCTTTAAAGCCTTTCTCAAGCATATCTATTACTTTGTGTGTTCTTGTCATGCTGTTACAAGGAAATTGATTCAAAACACAAATAGATTTTTTTTTCATGTTTTCAGAGACATGGGGATTGTCTTTTTTTCAGTTGAAAAGGATTTTTTACATACATATGAAAATAGTAGAAATTTACTTTCATTGATTATTTCAAAAACCTAAGAACCTTTTGATAAGTGTCATTAAGTCACTTAAAGTCACTTAACACTTTTTTTTTTTTAACAATAGGTGACTGTAGCATACTATAAAGCTACAACTATCAAAACTATCCCTAGTAGAAAATGTATAGTAGTCATCTCCCTGCATATGTACAGAGACAACATCTGGATTTCCCCACACTCACACAAATTCCCAGTGAAAATTTTTACTTTCCTCTAAATTTCTGTTTCTTCAAGGAAAAAAAGCTGAAGTAATATTTTCTGAGTCAAAATTTTGGTAGTCAGCAGTGTCATCACTAGTATGTGTATTTATGGGTGCACATTACTAACATGCAGTAGAGTTTATTACTATCTGTAGTTATGATGAATTAACTGGAAAGGAGGAGAAAAAGCTGTTGGCTGGGCCTGTTTTAAACTCAAACAAAAGCTATAGTCCAAATTGATACCATGCAATATGGTCTACCTTGACTAAAAAAGCCTCAGTGGATGCTAAGCTGATGTTTTGAAATGAGTTTCCATTGGGGGGGAAGCTTATCATTCGCATCATAAATCATAATGTAGAACTAGTATATAGACCACCTTTTTCTTCCAGAGCAAGCTCTGTTAAAAATTGTGCCATCACAGCTGCTCACCTCCATCCACTAACTATAAAGAATCATCCTCATAAACCAGTTGATAGATTGCTTAAAATGAGTACTCCCTAACCTGTCCTAAAGACAACACTAGCTGGAGAGGTTAGCTTTATATTTAATTAGGGGGGGGTTGAATCAGCTCCTCAGATTTTGCCAGAAGCTTATTAGGAAGTTTTATGTGAGTCTTAAGAATTACTTGGAGAGTAATCCCTAGCAAAAGGAGAAAAACAATAAAAGAAGATGGCGGTATCTTCATAGACATCTGTTCTGGTTGAAGCATAGCTTATTGAAAGCTTGACCCCAAGAAAGCAGGCTCGAGATGATTTCTTGAACCTAGAAATTCCTGAGTGCAGGAGTTCCTATTGTCTGTATAGAGGTCCTCTCTATATATCGTACTATATAGAGAACTGTCCATGAAGGCTGTTCAGATCACAATCCCTGCTTCTAATGGAAGGATTAAGCACACCAGCATATTGCACAGTACTCAACAGGGCAGCAAATGAACTCTGAGTCTACTCACAAGACTTTTCCATGCAATTAGCCAAGCACTTTTACGACAGAATCAATTAAGTACATTACCAAGCAGCTGGTGATACTGTCACATAGTATGCAGAGGTCTATTTCTTAAATTCATTACATGGAATGTTTACCAAAGTCCAAAAAAGTACTTCTAATGCTGATAACATGCTTTACTGTTATTTTGTTTAGCTCCTTTGATTTTAATTTTGTTCCACTTCTTTCCCCCACCTCTGGCTTTATAGAAATCCAAGATACCTTTTAGTAAAGCTGAAAGAGTGGTAACAGTACTATTTCTATACAACACCTAGTGCTTATGCAGCACATAGACCATAAAGAACACACATATATTTTGTAGCCACATCAAAAAAGGTGTACAATAATTTTACTTTCAAACGTACCCCAACAGGCATCAAACTGGAAAGTTAGAACCTTTTCAGATACTTCTGAAAAGCAGTTCAAAAAAACAGTTCACTCCCCAGTAAGTACCCACATTCAGGACTGAGGTACTTAATCGTTTCTACTCACAGGCAAGTCTGTTACCAGCATTTGAGACTGCAGAAAGTTTGGTGGACTGCAGCTATACAGGGATTCCCAAGGAAGCTGGTCACATACAACTTCATTTGGCAAAGCTGGAATAAAACAGCAATTCAGTCTCACCTATCAACTAATACAACAGGACAGTCACCCAGAACCACCAGGATAAAATATAGCCACCAAAGTAAAAGGAAGGGGTGTCTTTGCTATCGCCCCAAGAAAATTATTGCATCAATCTGAAAACTGGTCAATCATTCCTGTCAACACTAGGGTTCTTAAAAATGCATCA